ATATGGAGGAGAACAGATGCAGATTAAGTTTCCAAGCTGAACGGGGAAAACCGATCAAAGAGTTGCACTTGGGCAACCTCTGCTGCCTCCTGGTGGATGGCTATAGAGAGCATTAATGGCAGCCATTGGAATAGGTCCTGTGTCCATTTTCTTGGCTGTAGGTTCCAGGTCAAGCAATTTACAGTAATCTGTACTTAAGTAATGTCTTCCACTTAGGACGAACATCTCAAAGTACTTCACAACTATAATGGGGATCACCTAGCAGGGAGAGGAGAAGCGGGGAGTCCAAACAACTTGATCAAGGGAGACATAATCACTCCCTGGTTTTCAAGACAGGAAGAGAAAGTACAAGGCAACAGGATTTGGGAAGAGAATTCCTGAGACTGGGCATAGAGGCTGAAGGCTCTGCTTCTAATGTTGGAAGGAGGGAGGAATGAGTAGAAGGCAAAATTTGGAGGAATAGAAGGCACAAGCATGAAAATAGAACTGGAGATTGCAGAGGTAACAGGGTAATGTGGGACAAGATTGTGAAGGGATTTGAAGGCCGAAGACAATCTAAGAAAAAGGGATTAAAAATATAAAAATTAAAACATCCCCATGAAAATTACAATTATTTTGTGTAGCAAAATACATTTTTACACAATATGAAGTGGATGCCATTAATTTTCAAACCTTAATTAACAAGCCTTGCACGCAAAACAGGATCCACATTTAAAAATGACTAATCAGTTGAAAAATTTACCATTAAAGTTTTTTGTCTACTCCTTAATGTGGTTAACCTCAAGTGACAAGAAAATTAGTCTATATGTACATGAAAAATGCGTGAAGAAGTCCCACTTGGCAGAAACTGTTAAGAAACAAGGTGACACTATTAAATCGCAAATGAGAACAGCCTATTGAATAAAAATAGGACATACTGATTATAGGAGAGATGACAGAACATTTTATTTAAGAAAAGTGCATTAAATAACATTGCAATTTCCCTCCCACAAAATCATTAAATAAATTAATTTGTATAATTATGGTCAGAAGCTTTTCCTTTATTATGGTTGAAAATCATGTTAACAAAAAAAACAGTCTAAGCAGCCACCTGGTGGAATTCTATGAAATTTCAACAAGACAATGGGGTTTATCTTGCATTGACTGAGTAAAATTAAATTTTCCCAGAATTAATACGGGCTAATTAGCAAACTGATCATGCAACGCATATCAGAAAGCATGTCCAGTAGATTAAAGATTCATTGGATCTAAATTAAACTTCAGCAGCTAGTGAAAGACAAGTAGTAATAATAATCCTAAATACGATGCAAAGAACAACATAATTTTCATTTTTAATGCCTTATAACATCAAAATATCTCAAAAAGATTCACACAAAATTACTGTCAAATGTAGCACTGCATTTATAGGCAAATACAGCAGTCATTTGTACCAGCAAGACCCCACAAACAGCCTTGTGAATGACCAAATATTCTGGAGGACTGCTGGTTAGAAAACTGGGAAGTAACTCTTTTCAAGCAATATCATGGGATCATTGATGTCTACCGAACAAGTAGACAAGCTTAAGTGCTATTTAAATTATATAAATGAGGAAATACAGCTGTGGAGAATTAGAATGCAAACTGACACAAAGGAAAGCTAGCTTTAGCAACAACAGTGACATAATTCCTAATAGATGTGGTAATGGAGAGAAGCCAAAGCTTCGTGGGCAGGGGATGGTTGTGGTGGCCAGCAGAGTAAGGAGTAAACGCTGTGGAGAACACATGCCGGACATCCAGATGAAGCTTTACAAGTTCAACGTGTTATCATTCTTTAATCTTTTCCAATGGTTATATAATGACATGACAAATACATTTCAACACTGCAGAGCATTTAAAGTAGCAATTTAAAAATGACAAATACATGATGGCCAGCAGGATTTTTCCAAAAATATTAATGCCTTGTGTTAATTATCACATACTGATTTTTCCGACAAGTCCATTACTTGTTAATATTTCAGATGACTACAACATATGGAGGACTGTTGGGGAAACTCCTTTCTCTATTTGAATATGGTGTAGTCCTGAAATATCAGCAAGTAATGGCCCTGGGAGAAACAAATGTGATTTGATAATATGATATTTATTATAAGGGCAGAGAATGCAGTCTCTGCAATGTCAGAGTTTGGAATAGAACACTCAACCCCTTTCCCTTACCCCTTTTTCAGGGAAAAAGTTTTTGCCGAGTCCCTAAACTTTTAATATTAGCTACATTATTTTTTCTTCAGTGAGCAAGTTTCCCACCAATATTCCCAGTTATGTGAGCTGTGATTGAATACTACTTCACCAGATAATGGATTAAAATTAAAGATATGTTTTAATACCATTTTTTGTCCTAATGATAATCATCACATAACCGTCTTGTTTCCCCCTTCATGTGATCTTGTTTAAACTTAAGCTTTCTTTCATCTCTCACAATGTACACACAAAAGACATGTGTATAATAATACACAAAGGACAGGAGGGGTACCACCAGAGCTGACCCATTCTGAGAATAAACTGATGGGAGATCTTGAGGTACAGCTGAGTTAAAGTCACATAACAAAGTCCTTGTCAGAGATATAAATTATGTCCTCTTTCTCTTTGTGACTAGGGCACCCTCTGCCATCAGGTAGCCATTGAGGCTGCATTCGGACTAAAATGGCCACTTGTCACATCCAGTCAGCCCTCCACTTATGCCTCGCTCTCCTTTTATTGGGAGATTATCTTTTAATTAATCTACACATCAAAAAATAAGCAGATATGCTATCAAAAGTGTGAAAGCATGAAAATAGTGCAGACATTACATGTACACAGGCACGGAAAATATAAGTAAATAACAATATTTTTAATTAAAATACAATTTTAGTAGTTTGATTATAAATGTGACATCTGTCAAATCCTAGAAAGGATTTTATCATTTGAATAGTTTGATGTCTTTGGCTAAAATTGAAAGCAACATTTTAATCTTTTTTCTAGTAAACAAATGCAATTTCCTTAATAATTTTAAAAAAATAAGATATTGGCCGATAGCAAGATCGCCCTGCGGGATATTTGGATCTAGAGGGTTGTCATCCATGTACATTCTTAACAAGTCTTTTTTGAAGATTCAAAGTCCTCAAGTATAAATCTCAATTCCCAAGCTATGTCATGTAGCACACAGCCAAGCTAACATTATTTTAGCAGTTTTTAATTGTGCACATTGCAGATTGCCTCCCAATCAATTTTTTAAATTTCTGCTTCAATATCACAGACATCCTCTATTACAACTTTTGTTGATGCATCATCCTCGTTTTAACATCTTTTAGATCTGTCTCAGCATTTATCATGGGGGTCTTAAGCCACATAGTTAATGCACAGAAAAATCTCTCAAAATCCATCACTGATGGGCATGGTCCTGAAACTGTCTGATATGACTTGTACATTTATATAATATTAATCTTTTTGATGTCAAAAACAAGTGCAGTGATGGCCAGAGATCATTAAAAATGATCCTTGTATTTGATAAAACACATTATGATCAACGCCAGAAAATTTCAAAGTGCTTTACAAGAAATTGCTGTAAAGACCATGACTGAAAAGTTGCAGTCAAAGCTGTAGTCGACTCCTTGGACTCTTAATAACTTGGAAACTTGAAAGAAGCTTTGCTGCTGACTTGAATCAGACAGAATTAATTGTGAAGCTCTTCGGCCTAAAGCAGTAGTGACTTTAGCCAAAATTTACAATGTATTGTATAAAGTCTCATTTAGGTGCCTAAAAGCTGTTTGCAGTGTACAAGTTACATTTGTGGTAACCATTACAGCACATATATAGTGATAAATGTTGTAAAGTATGGCTGCGGCTTAGCTTTGTAATGATGCACACAAAATGTTTGCCAGATCAACTTCAGCAACTGAAGGCATCAGTATCAGTCACTTTTAGGCATAACTCTCGATTTTGGTAGAAACTATGAACTAGGTACATTCTCGTCCTGGTAAACTGTCTACGTGGTATAACTACCACTCATCACAATCAGATATCCAATATTAGCTATAAATCTACTACCATGGCATGATTGGTCCAAGGGACAATAAAGCACACAGATCACAAAAAACATGTCCTTTGGCCATTGTGAAAGTTATATACTCATGAGTGTTAAATTGTTACTCTCAGTGGAATGTGGTTTCACCTGCAAATCGTGCAGAGAAATGATGCTGAGCCAGTTTTTGCTCTTATTTAGCATTCGCGTTCACATCATTAAACCCAGAATTTGCAATAACCAGACAATGTTAACACAACAGTGGACATTGTCCAGAAATGTAATTTCTTAATAGAAGCAGTAATTACTTTAACAAATGTCAGCATCACAGCAGGTGTGTGAGAATGTAACATTTCCTAGTTATAAAATGGCTGAATAATGAAGTCTCCCAGCTGTGCTCTCTCATGAGCTGCTCTTAGTTCACAATCAAACTGAGTGTAATGGCTCACTTTGATGGCAAAACAGTCCAGCACTTTATGGCATGAAGTTGTTCAAGCACCAGTTAACAACCTACAAAGGTAACATATTAATAAACATTTTGTACTTCCTAACCCCATTGGATTATAATATTTGAGGAATTTAAATGAACTCTATTCACCAATTTTAACTGCTAAAATTTCTGACAGGAAATTATGCAATGATACTTCCAGTGAGAGTTCTCAAGGAAGAAAGCAAACTGGGACCTTTTTTAATGGTTCCCCACTTATCAACGATCAAAGTAAACACTCCTTGATAGTAGCCCTCAATTTGTCTAGTTCACAAAAATAGTTCTAAAGTGGCATGAATTACAATACTTTGTACCATCCATCTAAAAGCACTAGGACATGTCAAAAAGCAATTTCTTTTAAGTCTCTTTGACATGTCAGAAAGCAATTTCTTTGAAGTTGTGCAAATTCTATTTGTCTTTTATCATGTAGAAACTACTACCCAGGGAAGAACAGCAGATATCAGTCAAATGGAATTGTACCTTCATCCATATCTCTTCATTGATCATTGGCTTATGTCCCATTGAACCTTGAACCGCTTTTATTCCAAGTAAGTTTTTAACAACAAATTTTGTGTTCTGGAATCAGCAAGATAATCAACCATGAATTGGAAAAGATTTTAGTCCATCAAGTCTGTTCCATTACAGTATTTTATTACATCATGGCAAATGTTTTAATCTCATTACTTTTTTGTCTTCATAACCCTTAATATCGTTACTATCCAAGTATCTAACCATCTCCTTTTTAAGTATTCCAATCAATTCTGCATCTATGGTTCAAGGATAATGGATTCCATATTTTCTCAATCCTGTGCATGAATGCTTTCTGATCTCACTTCATCTGGTTTAACTTCAATTTGATCCAGAATTTATCACATAGGTTTTAAATTGTTACAGCTTAATTATGCTTTAAAGAATTGCTTTGTCAGCTTCATCAATGGTTTCAGAACTCAGACAACTGTGAATGTATGAAGGACTCGATCTGAAGAATAATGGGAAATTGTTTTCAGCACCTTGGGACATCCTCCTGACGTGAAAGGCGCTATACAAATGTAATCTTGTTGTTGTTGAATAAGCATTCCTCAGACATATATAGGAATCCCTTTTGTGATCCTGTGCCTTGTATTTGGATTTGTCCCACTGCTTCACCATACTCTCTCTGATTGTTCTACCTCATGTCCAAATAGTTCTCCTTCATGGTTCCAAGCTCTTGAGCATGCAACAGAATGGTTTTCATCAATCCTTTTGCAAAGTCCAAAACCAAGCAGTGAGATGGGTTTGATGGTAAAAAGAGGAATGAAGGGAGGGCTCAAGCCTAAACTCACCTGTCTCGCAGCTTTGTGGAGGCAGCATCGGCAGACAAGTCTCTTTGCCAAGTTCTCTCACATGAAGATCTGCATTAAGCAGCTAATGTTGAGTAATACAGGACTACAGAATTGGATTTGGATCTCCAGAGCATTCAAGTGACCTCACAAATTGTTTTGTATAGGTTATTTCACTACGTTAAAGTAGATGCCCATCAAATTGCAGATAAAGAAACTGAGGCTTGAGATGATTCAGCTGGAAGGCATTACCTGTAGGATGTTCTGGAGGGGTGAGATCAGATGACTGAAGGGACTTCTTCACCCAAACAAATCCCACCCGACCAAATCCCAGAATCATTTCTTTTTAAATGAGTAGTGTCCTGGCCTCAACCACCCTTCCTGGCAACCTATTTCAGTTATTAATTACCCGCTGAGTAAAACAAAATCCTTCCTGGTGTCTGTCGTGAAGTTGAGCTGTTGTGTGATGGATGCAATGAATCCACATTTCTATCAAGATCTTTGAGATGTCTCGAAGACGTGATAAAGCGCTATATCAAATGAAACGATTATTATTATTATATTATCAACAGGCTCAATGGGCTGAACGATTTTCTTCTGCCCCTATGTCCTAACAACTTTGTATCAAAAAACACTTTTTTTAATGATGGGAGCAATATTATGAAATTCTCTTATGATCTAGAATCTATCTTATATTAAGAATTAACTACAATTTGCTTGAAACATGCAAAAGGTCATGGGAAAGCTATTGACTTTATGTTTCTTAACCCCTGCACTTTCCTCCAATACAAATTCTCCAGGTCTTTCTGTTCTTGCCAACCACTAAGACGATTTTCATGAGTCTTTTATCCTTGTCATAGCTGACCGTGCCTTCATCCTGTGTTATACCACTCCATATGCAAACCTAAAATCTGAATAAAATTTACAGAATACAATATTTTGTGTTTTCCCCTAAATATCATGAACAGAATGTTAATCTATAAGGCTATTGAATATTGAGTTCTTAATATTGAATTCTTATTTCTGAATCTGGTGCTTCATTATTACAGAATATCCATGGAGAAATAGTGAAATAATAATTCCGCAACCGAGGAAGATCTTTATCGGGTTCTTGTGACTTAAAATCATTGGTAAGTTTAGAGGTCATTCTCATGTGGTCAAAAGTTGGTATTGCATTGTTAATATTGTGCTGTGTATCCTCTACTTATCAACGTAGAGTGGTATTCAGGCCATTAAATAATCAAGAGTAATAGCCACAGGATATTTAATTTGGAAAACATTATGACATAACTATTGTATGCAGCCCAGCTGCTTACCTACTTAATACAATTATTGTAAGTCAGCCATATATCAGTCAGTGAAGCATCTTAAATCTCAACTATACTGAAATGAAATTTGAGGATGCCATTTCAGCTAAACAGCTTTCAACCACTACTCATGTGTGAATGCATCAGGAATGTGGAACAATTCATCTTTTGTTTGGTTTACAGCTTACAGTGTGGCGTGCCTGTAGTCTCCATTGAAGGACTTGACACATTTCAATGAGCTGCAGTAGCTTAGCTCGTGAAATTGGTACTTCTGATGCTTGACTTTCAGAGCTCAGCAAGGATCTGTTGAGAAGCCCAAACAATTTTTAGAAATTGATTTAATTGTCAAAATACATTTCTGCAGCAACCACAACCTTATATCCATTTTCAATATTGAATGAAGAGGAATTACAAATTGTATTACTAGCCACTGGAAATTGACCATTTTGGAGCTCCCATTTGGAAGATAACTGCTCATCTCTGTTTAGAGCATTCCCATTGAGGGATATATCAAAAGAATACACACATTCTTTATTGTCCGAACTGGGGAGATTGGCCTGAAACTTTATGCCCAGAGGAATAGAGTACAAAAGTTGGGAAGCAATATATACAATACCTTGGTTAAACCACATGAGGAGTTCTATGTGCAATCTCATCACCATATTGCATGAGGATATTGTAGCATTGGAGAGAGTACAGCATAATTTGGATACCAAAAAAGTTAGGGGAATTTACAATTGAGAACTCACAGGGCTACGATGGAATGCTTCTCAGAAAGTTGAGTGAACCGTTAGTGGAAGCTCTGTTGTGATTTTCCAAAGATCCTTTCTTCAAGAAAGGTACAAAAGGATAAGCCGTGAAACTGCAAGCTTAATCAATTGTGGGTAAACTTTTGGAGACAATATAAGGGATCAGGTTAATGATCACTTATATAGGTTTAAGTTAATCAGGGATAGTCTGCATGGATTTGTAAAGGGCAGCTTGTTTTTGATCAATAAATTCTTTGAAGCAGTAACTGAAAGTGCAGATAAAGGCATTGAGAATACAAAGACTTACAAAGAATGTACAGCAAGGAAACAGGCCACTCAACCCAACCAGTCCCCGATACCCTTCTCTTCCCCTCTGCCTCAGCTGAAGTTCTAGCTTTCTCTTGAATGCATCTACACTATCTAATTTAGCCACTGCTTCAGGCAGCAAGTTCCACAATCCCTCTGCGTGAAGTAGTTCCTCCTAAATTCTCTTTCTGATCCCCTAGTCTCTATCTTTGATAAAAAAGAATAAAATCCTTGCATTTGTTATTTTGTATTGCACCTTGCTATACCAAAGGTGTTTGGTAAGGTGTCACACGGAAGATTGGTGGGGAAACTCAGGGCACATTGAATAGAAGGAAATGTATCGATTTGGACAGAGATGAAAGGGTGCTTTTCCAGTTTTTCTACATATATTAATGACAGCAACTAATATATAGCGTCAAAATATAGTAAATAGTGTGGATGATGGCCAGAGACTGCAGAAAGACTTAAATAAATTAGAACAATATATTTTTGCAATTTTTAAAAGAAATTCTAGCCTTATGAAGGGCGTATTTTAAGCAAATGAATGAGGATCCCTGGGAGTTCTGGTCCCCACTGGTTAAACTGCCAATTTAGTACCAATTTGTTTGTACCATTCTATTCTGAACTCTAAGCCACTAGAAATTGAATTTGAGGTGCCCAATCTTATTTTGAATAGAACTCATAGCTGATGAAGACAGATTATTTTCACTCCATTAGTCTTGAGTTGGATTTGAACCCAAAGACAATGTACTAACACTACATTCCCCAAGACACAGACCTTTTCATACATTTTGCATTTACCTGAATTGTTCATTCAAAGATGCTAAAGCATTTTCTATTTCTAACATCTGAGCAGCTCTGGAACTCAATCCTTCTGCAAGAAGCAACACCTATTTAAAATAATATATCGTTAGTCATTCTTACTAAACTGACAATAATAGGTAGAGACTAATTGTATCGCTAAACTTGTCAGGACGAGGAGAACAAATCTTAATCAGGTTCTACCCAATTTTGCACTTTACCTTCAACAAGGCACTGATATATTGCAGAGGGTTAACAGAAGGATAACAAGGATGATTAACAAGTTATTGAGAGTCACAGAGAAACCAGGGAGCAATGAGCCATGAGGTCTTGGCTGTTGCTGTTGTTAAGATCTCCTCACCTTCAGAGATTGAACCTGTATTGTTTGAGCTGTGAATCTGTGTGTCTATATTTGCTTGGCGGAGGGGGGCTGTGGGCTGCTGCAGTATTTGTTTTAAGACTGTAAATTCTGGCTTATCTAGTAATCCCTTGTTACTCATTCCTATAACACAAGCGATCACTTTCACTTTTCATCTCTGCACAGCCTTCAGGGCCTGGGCAGCCCCCTTATGTTGCAGTAACCTGTACAATATGGAGCTTCAGATGCAGCCATACCGGCTATTACAGCTTCAGCATGACTTCTGCTGCATCTCAACTTATTTAGCAATATACCCAGCATCCTGTTTGCTTTGTTTATTGTCACCCAACATCCATGCCATAACCAGTTCTGCCATCCCCCACCTCCGCAACATCGATCGGCTCCACCACAGCCGCTCGCTCAGGACACCAAAACCCTCATCCACTTGTTACATTTAGGCTTGACTGCGCCAACTCCATTTGTCGGGTCTTCCAAACTCTTCCCTCCACAAGCTGCAAATTGTTCAGAACCCTGCAGCTCGTGTTCTCTTCCGTACCAGACTCCCTGACCTTATCGTCCCCACCCTCGTCCATGGCTCCACTGGCTCCCCATCTCCCAAAGGATAGAATTCAAAATCTTCGTCCTCACCTTCAAGGCCCATCACAGCCTTGCTCCTTTCTACCTCGATCACCTGCTAACCCTATATCAACCTGACTGCTCCCTCTGCTCAGCAGGCTCTGGCCTGCTCCACGTCCTCCAATATCGACGATCGGGCTTTCAACCTCTCTGCCACCACACTTTGGAACCATACTGCCATCCCACAGTCCCTTTGCCTTTCTCCCTCCCTTGCTTCCTTCAAGACACATCTTAAGACCTTCCTCTTCGACCGTGCCTT